AAAATTTTGTAACATAATATTTTTACATGCAACAATGACCCCCCAATACCAAGTGTTGTCTTTAAATTTCTCTCCCTTCTACAGTGTGTCATAGAAAAAGGTCATTTTTCACGATTGTTTGATCTATTCATCCAAAGGCCATAAAAACTTTTCAAATAATCAATTAAGTATATTAAAAAAAATTTAAAGTCTCTTTGACCGGAAGAAAGAAAAGATAGGAATAATATTATCGAGGAAATTTGCCCAAAAAATTGTTAGCGCCAGGGAAAATGATTTCCTACTACTAGTATGGACTAACGAGAAAAGTTCGCAATTTTAGTTTTATTTATTTATTTTTTATTATATTATATTTAGGTATGCTAGTTTATTTGATATGAACTTAAAAATTAATATATATTTATTTATTTGATAATACTACTAGTAACTACTTATTAATTAATAATAATAGGTAAAAACTTAATTTTGATCTCTGAATTATTATACAGATCACTCAATTCAATCCATGAATTAAAAAAATCTCTGATTTGGTCATTATTATTTATCAATTTTACCTTAACTTGGTCATTCCGTTAAACAACTACCGTTAATTAACAAAAATTTAATGACATGTCAAAAATTTAAGACATGTCAATTTTACAAATGGATAAATGATGACGTGGCAACATAATAAGTTGTATTCTTACCCAACGCCAAAAAAAAAAAAGTGAGGCCCATCAAAATTACCATTTCACCATCATCTTCTTCCCTCAGCATCTTTCTTCTCGAATCTTCTTCATTCAAATAATCAATTCAATGAAGCAATTAAATAATCAATTCAATGAAATAATTAAACAATCAATTCAAAGGAATCCAATGCCTGGGTTGAATCTAACCTAACAGGCGCCCTTTCTTTTTCTTTCCTCCCTCCTTCATCAATCAATTCTTCAATTTCATCAAACAAACCAAACCCACAAAAAATTAAAACAAAAAAAAGAAATTTTTTTGCCCCAAGGTTCCTTGGAACCCAACGCCTGGATTCGAATGAACCCAAAGCTTGGGTTCCAACAAACCAACACCTAGGTTCCAAAGAACCTAGTGCTCCGGTTTCAACGAACCTTGCGCCTATTGTTGTTGCCCTCTGCTCTTCTAGGGTTCGAATGGGAAAAAAGGGGAAAAGATAGTGAGTTTGGGTAGGAGGTGGACCCCATGTTCTATTTTTTTTGTTGGCCCGAGATCTGATGTGTTTTTGATGACATGTATCTTTTTATCCATGTGTATAGTTGATGTGTTATAATATTTGGACATCTCATCATACTCTAGTTAATTAACTAGACATATCACTGCATTTTTAATGGAATGACCAAGTTGGGGTAAAATTGATAAACAGTAAGAACCAAATCAAGGATTTTTTTAGTTCAACGACTAAATCGAGAGTCCGTACAATAGTTTAGGGACCAAAATGAGGTTTTAACCATAATAATAAATAGAATCAAAATTTAAAATTAAAATATTAATAACATAACATAAGTTATCTCATTTAAAATATTAAAAAATAAATTTTATTTTATTTTTTATTTTTTTAAAACTCATAATATTATATATTAATTAATTTAATAATATAACATATGTCATATTATTAATTTTAAATTTTCATCCTCAATTTTCATCCTTTTATTATTACTCCTTATTAATAATATGTGGTTAGGTTAGATAACTATTACTATATGGAACAAAAAAGTAAGAGACTTAATTAAGGAATTATGTCTTAATTGATAAATAAGTTTATTTTTATTTTATAAATAATAAAAAAAATTTAATTTAAAATTAATAATATGACATAAATTAATTATTTAAAATATTAAAAAATAAATATTATATTATTTAATAATCAATTCTTTAAAAAAAAACTTATAATATTATATATTAACTAATTTAATAATATAATATAATCCTATATAATTGTCCAATATTTCGTCTTTCTATATCATTACTCATTTAATTGATTAAGTTTAATCTTTTAGAATTACTAATAAAATAATAAATTTTTATTAATTACTTAATTCTATGTGAATAGAATCCTTTTGAGTTAATTTAACAAATCATCTATTAATTTTTATATTTTTTTTCAGTTTCATCTATTATCTTTGAATTCTTTCAATCATATCTATTATTTTTCACATTTATTTTAATTTCATTTAGTTCTTTAACGGAAATGTACGTTATCTTTAACGGAAATGTACGTTATCTTTAACGGAATCTTCTTATTATGTAAGAAAATATTTAATTCTCTAACTATATTTTTTTTGATATTTTAATCCTTAAATTTATACTCGCCATAAAAATAGATTTTAATTTTATCTTACTAAATGCGTTCTTCAAAAAATTATTTTACAAAACGAATTGCATGTAGTTTGTTATGTAAAATTATTTAATTGTCTTTAATTTTATTTTTATATTATTTTTTTTGAAACATTTAAATAATTTTTTAAAACAGACTACATACAATATACTTTGTAAAACAGACTAATTACTCAAATTTATTACAAATTTTAACTAATTTATCTTTATAAAATATTTTTTGACTCATCATATTTTATTAAAATTATAATGTCACTTTTTTAAAAGTTAAATGACTACTCTTTTCCATTAAATTTAACAAAATTTTGTATTGATAGACTATTTTAAAATATTTTCAAAGTTTATAGACTATTTAAAAAAATAAAATTTATAAACTAAAATGAAATTAAGTTTATAATTAATAAACTAAAAATTGAATTAAGCGAACCCTTTTGTGAAAGTGTTTTTCTAATCTACCTTAATAAAGATAAAAAAGATTGGAAGAGTCAAAGAATAAACAAAATGAACACCGACGATGAATTGTCATCTAAAGATTGGGTGATAATGTGGATTACCTGACGCTAACAGTGCTGACATGTCACTCAGTTGAAGTTGAAATTTCTCTCATTTTCTGTTTCTGATCTGAATAGCGGAAAAGCTTCGATTGGTAGAAACTCCAAAGCTAAGGCCAAGAAATCCAGAAGAACCCTTGTCTTGTTCATTTTTTTTCCACAAAACCCATCATAATAGACCCAAATCCGATTCTGGGTCTGTGTCTATTTCTTTCTCTGAGTGGAGAACATGGGGGTTCCGGTGATTAAGTTCCCGATCTTCCTGGCAGTGCGAGTGACGGGGATGATTATCGCGGCGCTGGTTCTGACATGGACGCTTCATTACAGGGGTGGATTGGCTCTCGTCTCCGACAACAAAGATCTCATCTTTAACGTAATCACTCTAATCTTCTCTTGTAGCGCGCCTCTCCCTTTTTTTTCCTTTTGTTATTTAGTTACTTAATTGAATATGGTCCTGTTTTTGATTTTCGATCTGTCAACTGAGTTGTTCTGATGCTCATATCACATAATCAAGAAAGAACTTTAATGGCAGTTGCATTTTCTATTTACATTTTTTATTTCTAATTTTTCCCCTTTTGTGGTGGTGGGTATTTACTTCTCAGCTGGTGATGGTTCCTATATTGAGGTTTCGATTGTTTAATTGTAAGTTTGATGAGCAATGAAGCAGCTAACCGGATCAGGATTAATGATATCATTTTTATTTAATATCTATTTGACTTACTCCGTCTAGACTCAGCATTTTTTGATGGGTGATTTTCTTTACCTTCCATTCAACGATTTTGTGTAGAAGTATGTGAACTCACTATGCTTGTATATATTGCAGGTTCATCCTGTTTTAATGGTTATAGGACTAGTGCTCTTAAATGGTGAAGGTAAATATTGTCACTCTTATGTTACCAAGATGTTAGGTTCTATTCTTCATTTCTAATCCATTCTCTACATTGACACCAGTTCATTTTCTTCAATGGATTTCAACTGAACCTGATAATTCCTACCTGTTGGATGTTGGTATATAGATAAGAAATGTATCTAATTTTGTACAAAAGATACAAGTTTGGTTCTAAGAATTGGATGACTAATGCTGAGTATAATACCTTCTTATATTATATGAAATAGAAGTTTAATTCCAGAATATGATAAGTGTGAATTTGAAGGTGGGCATTTGACTCATTTTTGTAATCGTGATTTTCATTATTCTTGTATTTAATGTGGGTTTGGTTGGATGCAGCCATGCTGGTATACAAGACTGTTGTGGGGACAAAAAGCTTCAAAAAATTAGTTCATCTTACAGTACAATTCTTTGCTTTTTGTTTGAGCATTGTTGGTGTCTGGGCTGCTTTGAAGTTCCACAACGATAAGGGCATTGACAACTTCTACAGCCTGCACTCATGGTTGGGTCTAGCCTGCCTTTTCCTATTTAGCATCCAGGTAGGCCTATTCTTCTAAGTGCCTGCTCTTCATTTCCATTCAGAAAGTTTGCTTCTGCAATTATATTAATGCATTACTATTAAATTTCTTTTGGACAGTGGGCTGCTGGATTTGCTACCTTTTGGTACCCAGGTGGCTCGAGAAATAGCAGAGCTTCCTTGTTGCCATGGCATGTGTTCTTTGGGGTGTATATCTATGCCCTTGCTGTTGCTACTGCTACAACTGGTATCTTGGAAAAGGCTACGTTCCTTCAAACTAACAATGTAATATCTCGCTTTTCCATGGAGGCTTTGCTCGTAAACTCTTTGGGCATTTTGATTGTTGTTTTGGGTGGTCTGGTTGTTCTTGCCATTATTGCTCCTCTTAATGGCAAAGGTGATGCGCATAGAGGATTGGTAGACTAGGGAGAACTTGTTTCCCTTGCAACTCCCAGGTGCCATAAAGTTGAATTTTGACTCCAGACGAGTCACCGAATGTATTATTGTTTTGAGATTGATACGGGTGTGTATCAGTATTGAAACTTCGGAAACTTACACGTTTATTGAAGAAATTCGGGTGGCAGTTGCTTCTTTGACTCTAATCTCCCTAGTTTGTGGCATTTCAGTGTTTATTTTATAAAATTTTTGAGGAATTGGAGCTTTAGCCCTTTTTCTTTTTCATTTTTTGTTTGTTTTTTTTTTTTTGAAATGATTTTTGTACAATCTTTGTTTTATTTTTTTTACAACTTAACATGTTATTTAAATGATTAATTTTTTTAATTCATATAAGACGTGTAATATTGAATACATCCATTCATTTAATGACACATAAAAATTATATAAAAAATAATATAATAAAATTATCCTTACAACACCATTAAAAAAAAACCAGAGAGGCATTAGGTCAGCATGAACCCAACTCCAACCTTTCAACTAATGTTGAGGAACCTATCTCCAAACATTTGGGAAATTGCAGCAACTCAAGCATCATTACGACGCATTCACCATCATTAACCATCTTGGGATAATAAAAGAAGAAACCAAGGAGGTAAGTTTTGATAAACAGATTCCCACAACAACTGAGAAAAATCTTTGTTTAAACGCCGGAGGTACAAAACTCACTACAAACTACAAAGTAATGACAACAGGGTCCCAATTCTGCCCGGAGAGGCGACGGATCGCGCTCTTCACAGAGTCAGGTAAAAAGGGAACACATTGCCAAAAGACTCAAAACCATTAGGCTAAATAGCCTTTATTCTGTGAAGGATACCCCAAAAAACAAAAAAGAGAACGAGAAACAAAAAAAGACGGAAGCAACTCAGGACATTCGCTGCTCTTATTGTTCCCGAATGGCCAATAAGACAGTTCGCAGCGTTGGCAAAATTTTTGAGAAGCCCCCATTGATCCATCGTTTAGCCATCTATGCTATATCCATAAGTGCTCTTTCCGATATTCTCGCACAATGACAGGCACGCTTGTTGGTGGGACCTGAAACACAAACAAAAGCTCATTGATTTCAACCCATTATTCCCTTTAAAATCATATCAATATGATATTACTAGCAACAGTATAAATGAAAATGCCATGACAAGTTTTTAACATACAAAGCTCATCATGCAAGTAAATGAGAAGCTGTAAACAGAACATATTTCAAGCTGTGAGGTTGATTGCCTGGTCAACAGATGCTGGTGAGAGTTTCTAGCAGATAATTTTAAAAAGAACATGAAACATTGCATGCTTTCCAAAGTTCACCTCAACTATGTCTTAATCCTAAAGCACTACTAACAAAAGAATCATTATTTTCACTTTCTGTTAAGTAACCAACTTACCATTCCATAATCTGTGATCACTATAGAAACATAATCTGAAGGAGTTGCGTCATAACTGTCAATTAAAAGGATTTGTAAGAGTCAGTCAAAGAAGAAATAACAAGGAATCATTTAAACTCAAGTTAAAAGCAAAACCATCCAAGCCACCTTTTTTGTTCAATTGGATGGAATTTGTTAACAATAATATTTTAATTTTAAAAAGCTTGATTTCTCTCATACACAGACTTCACTTACGTCAGATTCAGAAGCTGTAGATTTTCACTGTTGGTCGAACCATCCAAATAGTTAATTTCTTCTCTACCATGAACCTTTGAGATGGCATCAGGATCACCTGCAAAAAGGTAGAGAATGTGATCTACATAACACCCCAAAGCAGGAAACCAAATTAAATGGCAAGAATGATGTTACTCTGGAAATACGTACCAAGTTCATTAAAGCATATTGAGTCAAGCTGTACCCTTTCATGGAATTTATAGGCTTCACAACATACTAATACTGGTACGCCAAATGCATGAGCAGCCATAGCTACACAAGCAGTACCAACTCTTGAATAAACCGTCCCATTTGACAAAATTGATGAAGCACCCAGAAAAACTCGAGTAACTTCATGCATAATATAGGAAACAGCATTTATATGAGTGTATGTACAGCCAAGGCCCCTTCCAACCAACCTACGGAGTAATAATTGTCCTTCAAGTTTTGGGCGAGAGTCTACCACCACGACACGAAATTGCTTTCCAAGCTCATGAGCATGCAGCAATACCATTTCAACTGCAGAGGATGCCCCATATGTTAGAAGAACATCACCATCTCTGATCTTTGTAACAGCATGCTTGACTATCACATTGTCTGCAAGGATAATCTTCTCATTTATGAAACGGTCAATATCAGCCTGAAGAGTTGCTTTTGCTTCTGATTCAGACATAGATAGAGGCAACTTGGCAATTGTACTCTTTAGGAACCTTATTGCATTCCCCATGCTGATTGAAAGGGGCCGGCATTCATTTAAGAAAGAAACATAGCTACTTATTTTTGCAGTTAAATCTCTAACTAGAGATTTTTCAGGTGGTGTTGAGTAGCTTCTAATGGTCTCTTGGAAAGCTTGAAGCATTGCAATACAACGAGCATTACCACCACATATATCTCCAGATAAATACTGTAATCCCACCTGACAACAGCAGTTCAAGGTCAGAGTTTTAATAGAGAATACAGTTTGAAATGAGGCAGGAGTTTACAATTTTTATTTTACTTACTGACTACACATCCAGTAAACAAGAGAAAGAAAGCAATAGACACCCACATAAACAATAGTGAGTTAATCTGAATACCTTATAGACAGCAGGATGCATTGGATCAAGTTGGAAAAACTTTGACTCAAGATCAGGAAGCTGAGTTCCGTGTTCATATTGGGGCAAATGCCTGAACAATTCAACTCTGTTCCTTGCCTCTGTTTGTTTTACCACTGCACGCCTTTTGGCCTTTTCAACTCGGCTCTGATCATCATATTGCATGCGTGGATGAGGAACATCTTTCTTTCTATCTTTCTCTAATTGGCGATCACCTGCCTTCTTCTCAGCAGCTGCAACTGACACAGCATCATTCTTCTGTGAAGGGGACTTTGGAGATTTAGCCGTCTTGGTATTTGCTGAATTCACGGGCCCAGGTACTGCAGCTGATGTCTTACTTCCTTCAGCTAATGAGTATAAATCCACAGCTAGCTTTAGTAGCAGATTAAAGAATGCTAAATTACACACCGACAGAACCAACAAAAACATAAGCAAAATAAAACAAATGAATTACTTGGGCAAATTTTTTGAACCCAGCTCACCATGAGCTAGAAAGCAATTATATTCAACAAAAGATTTATTTTGGTAGATGACAAATAATTTGAAAATCTAATAGACAGAGAAGCCATTGAAGAATTAGAAAACTCATGTGCATGTAGAATATGCATGTAAACATGTACACATAAACATCCATGGGAATATCTATAAATAGTTGAATTATAATAAATAATGGAAAGCATACTTCTGTTATTTCAAAGCAAATGAATTGAACAAACAACCATACACACCTTTTGCAGCAGCTTTGGCAGCCCGTTGGGCCTCTTGTGTTGCACGCCTTTCAGCTTTAGAAGTTTTCTGTTTCAATGGCTTCGACTTTGCAGGTCGATCATTCTGGACTTCAACTGATGCACCACCAGCCTTTTCTGCAATAATTTTTTTCTCCACCTTGTTAATGCTTTACTTTATTAGGACCACCAAAAAAGGGTAAAAATCACCCCTACAATTTTCAAATCTTAATCTACAAATAACCATTCATAATCAAAATGACTTATTTACTAACAAGAGCTTAGCCGAGCTGGTAGTCTGTAACTTCAAGGGTTCAAAACCTTGATTCTAGAGTCAAGGTAGGGGGTTCCAGAAAAAAAAAAAAAAATAAGTGTGTTCTGTATTCAGACTTGAAATTTGCAAATCCAATACCAAAACTGATTGCAGAATGCAATACACTCAAAATTTAAAAATTTTGAAGCATCTAAATTCAAAAAAAAGGGAAAAAAAAAGGAAACACTTTTATCATAAGAAATCTACGGTTTCTGCAGAATGATTCAAATTCTTCATCTTTTCTTCAACAAAGTAAATTAAACTATAATACTATGCCAGATCTATCGATCGTGTAATATTACTACAGTTAGATTCAAAAAGCAGGCAACTTTTGAGTGAAGTCGTAAAAGTTATTCCATACTGAAATTTATAGAGTACCCGAAATGCCAGGAGGCAAATTGACGACTGACACAGTGGTTAGCTTACTAGCAGGAACGCTACTCGCCTTGACAGCGGTTAAGTCGAACCCACCTTTGGGAAACGACGATGCTGCAACTACGGAGGAGGGAGATTTCACCGCAATGCCTCTCCTTCCAGGAGATAAGAGGCTGTCATCGTTTTCTCGGACGACCACAGCGCGAGCGAAGTAAGAAAACGAAGCCGTAGGGGAAGTGGCCCGATGAGAAAGACGGTGCAGGTTATCGGAGTGGTGACGTGAAGGAAGGATCATAACGGGGGAGAGCAAGTTTCCGGACGGAGAGACGTCCGTAACAGGAGCAGAGGATGTGGAAGTAGAGGTGTGGAACGGGTCGGGAAGCGGAGGCTCCGAAAAGGACCGTTCGGGGAGGTGGTGATGGTGATGGTGGTGGTGTTGGGAGGTGAAGAACCCAACTTGGCGGACCTTCGGATCGCTGACCGTGCGTGAGGTGCGACGAGGCTCCATTTTCGGGGTGTTTGGCTAGGAAGAAAATCTTTAATTAAGAAAACATGAACGGATTTTCTCGGGAAATTTTGAGGTCATAGGGATTTAGGAAGAGCAGTGAAACTCAGTTCCGCCGTGAACATGAGAAAAAAGGAATAAACAAAACAATAAAAATAAATAAATAAATAAAAAGAGCACTTGTCAAATTTGTTTGTTTCTATCCGGTAATTTTTCTTTTACTTCTATCGAGTACTACTTAAATTAATCAATTTTTAATAATTATTGTCAGCTGTTGCAATCAACTGTTACAAGCTGTTTCTTTTTCTTTTTCTTTTTTTTGTAATTTAGTTTTCATTCCGTTAGAGATTTATTTATTTAATTAAATTAAGTTAGATTTAGATTTACATTTTCAGTTTTTATTGTCTAAATTATAAAACATATTTTTCGATTACATTTTTATTTATGAAAAAGTTTCTAGTTTTTTCATACAAGTGGCAAGGAAAAAGGCAAATTCGCCTTTAGAAACTGGAAACAATCCAGCCCACACGTCTCTCTAAAGTAAAACACGTCGATCACCCACATTTGACGAAGTATAACCTTTGTGAGGAAAATCTGTGGATGAATCATGTTTCTTGAAGAAATGAAGATAAGGGAAAAAAAAAATGAAAAAGAAATAAGTTCCCTATTTTATAATACAGAAAAATTTTCCCTTGAACTCCCAATATCAAGAACCCCATCATTTCCATCCGAAACTCCACCATGCGGCTTATGGGTCGTGCTCCTTAACAAGGAAGGGTGACACTCACCCTCATTTAAAGTTTAAATTTTTAATTTTTAATAAATAATTAATTTAATTTATTAACCATTGTCATTGTCAAAAAAAAAAAAAAGAAACCCCACTTTTATCCATGAGTTAGAATTGTGTAATCCGAAAATTTTCGAAGTTCAAAGTGTACGACACTTTTACAAAAGGAAATTCTCTGAATATCAATAGCAGCAGTAGCCATAATCGTATGAAATATCATTTTCACAGAGAACAAGGCAGAAGAGAAGGGTCTGAACTCGGAAATGAGCTACGGTAGCGGAGCTATAAAATAAAATAAAATAAAAATCCAGCAACAGTAGGACGGTGTAAAACATTTCCTTCCAATGCATCCAAGGAGTTCAATTAGTGGTGGAAATCAGATAAAGCATGGGCAGACTGGTCCCCTGGAGATGCCTAGTTGTACTTCCATGCCATGGTGCATGTTTGGAGGCCTGAAAGTCTCTGATTGTTGTGGACCTGCAGAAAAGGATTGAGGAAAAAAAAATTAACTAATAGCTAACTTAATAAAAATATGACATCTAATGAGATTCCACAAATCTTTTGGAAATCTTTTGGAAAGTTTGGACTATGAGGAATGCAACTTTGATAAAAGATTTCAATAAACATACATGAAAAATGATCTCGAGGGGAAAAAAGTGGCCTATCAAATACAAAAACACTATTTCTTTAGCATTTAATTTGTAAAATTTATACCATTCAAGTATAAATATTTATCCTCCAATCCAAAGCTATCCAAGTCTCCTGTCATGGCTTCCAGACCTAACATGGAAGAAGGGATTGTGCCTGGAGGCCTTTGAAAGCTGCACATTTTCCAAAAAGAGACATTTAAAAGGAATATATCAATGAGTTCAATCTTTTTTTTAGCAAAACTAAATAAGATTGTATCAAAGTGTTAACGGTAATACCTTTGCTTTTGTTAATCCTAATCCAGGAATCCTAGTGCAAGTATGGATGGTATAAAAGAAAGGCCTATCTAACATAAGATAGTGTGTATCCAAAACATGCTAAGATTCCTAAGAAAGACTATGAATTAGGTGATCAAAATCACTGAAGCAAGACCATGAAATGCGAATAATACTCATATGCAAGAGAAGTAGTTGAAATCCATCACATTTCAAATAAATACAGCAATCTTCACAACACCCAAAAAAAAAAATAAAATAAAATAAAAAGAAAGAAAGAAGAAGAACAAGACGAAAGAAAAAAAGAAACTGCTAGCCAGTCCAAATGCATACAGGGAGGGGTTCTATGTTTTGTAAGAAAAAGCTATACAGTTTGCTTTTGCACATCACCCCCATTATATTGAAAACTAAAGCAGGACAAGACTGTTATTCATTCCTGCCTACCTACTGTTTAGGTCAACTGTTGCTAAATCATTACTAGCAAACAGTCAAGCAAATCCTAACAAAATTTCTCACCTATCATGCAGAAACTGAATGAGATCTATCTGCAGCTGAAGCTTTAGAAAGGAGATTCACATTATCCCCATTATAATATGTTTGCTTTAAATTCATGTGATGGCTATTGAACTTGGGAAGGCTATGAAGTATAGCCTCTAATGGTCACTGGAGAGTTTTTTTGAACCAGAAGTATTGCTAAGAGAATTAGCAGCTACCTCCAAAAAACTTTGCTCCTGCCTTTCTTGGTAGTTTAGACTTCAGAGTCGAACACCTTCTCCAAACAATTGGCAGGGAGACATCTATAGACATCTAGTGTGAGTAACCTAGCAAAAGTCTCATACTAAAATTCTACAAAGCAAACACTATAATGCATAGAGCCAAGTCCGGGGAAGCATATGCTGACTTAAAAGAATTGAGAATGAAGAGAAAACTTAGTTGAAACTCAAAAACTGAGACATCCAGGCCAAATGAACAGATGGCTACAGTAGTTACTCCTTGGTATCTATAGTCATTTCAATCTCTGTCCAAATGGATGCACTGAATGGTAACTATAGATTTCCTCGCCTCTAAGATTCTTTTGACACATTAGAGATTGAATGATCAGCTATACAACACAACAAATAACACCAATTTTTCCAAATAATTTTCCTTGACATGCCTAATATTTGATAATTACACATGAAAATACATTTCTTCTAATGACAATTCTCCTTTTGTCAATTTATATAGAAATTTCACAGGCTAATGTAAACCATAAATTATTAGGGAAAATTGTCCACACCTATAGTTTGTGTATGATCAACAGAATTCACTTTCCCCACATCCCTGACAAATTGGATCTTTATTAACCACATCTATCTTTCACAAACCAATCCTAAATGTCTACCCATTTTCCCCCTCCAGATAAGTGTTCTCATGTTCATTCTTAATACTTATCAACTTAACAGTTTCAAGCTCCACCTTTTGGGTTATTTATTAAAGAAACACCCTCACAAATGACAATTAACTGGACTCCGAAACAAGCAACGGCACAGTCATTTAATCCCAAAAGAAAAAACTCTAATCAGCAACAAAATACAGTAACTTTGTTCACAATATGTACAAGTCATTGAAAATATTTAGCACCCCCCCACAGAAAGAATCATTTATCATAAACCCAATAAATTAAAGCTTGTACCGTGCAACAATTTGCCTATCCATATCCATTTTCAATGGGAATGCACTTCCATAGGTGGTAGCTAAGATTCTCCTCTTCATCTCCTGTTCATTCTTCCTTGCCTAAAAAAATAAAAATAAAAATCACTTTTAATTTTCTTTTTTTTTTTTAAACCCAATGTTTAATGCAGTTAAATTGAGAATATTTAAATCTTTCCGGCGAAAGTAAAAGCGCAAACTTTAAGAAAATTACCACATTGCAAATGAAAGAAATTTTGCGACTTCCATTTATTCATTCGATTTCTAAGCAGTGAGGACTAAGACGTCAAATAGTAGTGAAAATTCGACTCTATTTTCCATTATTTCTTCCATATTTGATGAGACAAACAGGAAATCAGAATAAAAATAGCTACAAAGAGAGAAGGAAAGGTTTACAGATTCATATGCGATTTCGAGAGGATGAGATCCAACAAGGTCACTCTTGACGCCGTTGAGACCAAATCGGAGCGAGTCCTTCTGAATCCCTCCGATTTCGTGTTGAATCGGCTTCGGTGCTTCCATTGTTTCTCCTTTTCTTCTTCGCTGAGGTTTTAGAGCTTCTTAGAAGTTCAGAGTCTTTGGAAACAAAAAATCAATAAGCCGGATCGAAACATAAATAGCAAGGGAACGACACCGTTTTCGATATTGCTTCACTGTGTTTATTTTGGATAAATTATGTAGGTAGTCCTTAACCTTTTAATATAAAATTCAAGTAGTTCCTCAATCTCTTAGTTGTGACAATTGGATCATTATGCCCTTTAAATTATTTCAATTGGATGTTCTAAATTTCTAATTGAAGTATCTAAAAGCTCCCTATTCGTACCAAAATAGTTTAATTCTTAAAATTTTTCATCCAATTATCATGGATACAAATAATTAGGTCCCCCCCCCCCCCCTCTTTTTCGCTAATTGGATTTTACCTTTTTGAATATTAATTATTGATGTTACTGTTTTAGCTCATGATGATTCCTAATTTGCTACTACCTAACAGATTCGATCTTTCTTCCATTTTCACTCTTTTAGGAACAAAAACAAAAAGAATAAAAGAAAATAAAAATTGCATCATGCTATGTAAATTAATTTTTTATAATGTTAAGTAACTAACTTTATAAGAACTAAATAAATAATTATGCAAATCTATGCTGAACTTCTTGGAGTAACAAGGAAGGAAAAAAGCCAACACTTAATTAATGTCTATAAACGACTTAAGCATTCAAATGATTTCCTAGTTAAGTTCCATCCTTGGATTTATCTTCCAAGTTTGCTATGCTGGTCAACTTGTTAGAAAATAAGAAGAAAAACATCAGAATGAAAAAGTTTTGAAATATGATCTTATTTTTTAAAAAATTCAAAAATAGATATAACAAAATTAAAAAATTTTCTCAAAATTAGATATATAATTTAAACTATGTCAATGAATTTATATTAGTCAAATGGACACTGATTGTAGGATTATATTCATTAAAGAAAACACCATTTGGTGATGTATGTTAACTATCAAAAGTGACATTTAAATTTTAGATATGTCATTTCAATTTTAAATTTTAAAATTAAATTAAAAATTTTGGAATTATTAAAAGATAAAAGCATCTTTTTGGTTTATTAAGGCCGAAGTGCTTAAGTGTCCATTTTAAATGAAAATATAAATGGGTAAAACCTAAATCCAAAGCTTCATAATTCTAACTTTACATAATTATAATTGAGCAATTGATAATTATATATAACAAAAAAGTATGATGCAATTTAAATTATATTACACTAACCATTAGATAAAAGTAAATTACTTGATTTTGAGAGTTTTTTCATATAATAATCTATATTTTATAATTCAATATAATTTAAATTATAAAACAAAACCCCCTATATATAAATCCTTTTATTTTTCTATTCTTCCCAAATGTAAGATATATAAGTTCCAACATTTTCAAAATTAAACTATTTAAAACAACCGTAATTAAGCTTAAGCTTGGACTTGTACAACAGCAAAAACTATATTGCATTTTAAAAAAATTATTTTTCTTACTAAATTTGCATGCAATCATTGCAAGGCAGCAAGGCAACCTAAAACCCCGCATCTAGCAATGTACCTCCAAGAATAAAATACGAGATTTGATTGATTCTCTCTGGATAAATATCAGTTGCATTCAATTCAATCCCATTTTTTAATTCCATTAATCTGATTTACTGCAGATTTTGCGAAAGATACACCTCTCTTGTTCCCTCTCCCTCACAAGATTTGACAGCAACGAAGGTCTCTTTTATCCCCAACTCCGAACATGAAGACCGGAGACCCCCTTGCTTCACTAGGCACCTTTACTTTCTCCAGCATCACTTGCTTTGAGTTCACCTCCTCCTCGTTTTGACCATTCTCCTCAATAACAACTATTAATTAAGGGTAATGGTGAAGCCGTCCTTTGTTTGTATGATCATCACCTGTTTGATATTTTGCTTCTTAGGTAGGTGTTTGTTACTGCTACAACCCATGAGGTTCACTGTTAGTTTGATTTACTATATTTGTAAAGATTCTTCATATTGTGCCTTCATCTTCTTTGTTTCCCTCTTTTTTGTTAGGGAGGAATGGAAGAGCTTCGTTTTCAGCATATATAAATGGAGATTGAAGGTGGGGAGTAAGTTCTCCCTGGGATGCCATGCCTGCAGGTGAGTCAAGCATTTCATTGTGTTCTTGTTTTGATGATTTTGAGGAAGTTCCTTCGGAAATCACAATGCATTCTGTTTTCATTTATAATCATCAAGGTAGAAACTATGAAGTAAGAAGATGAGTTGAAATTTTAGTCAGTACCTGCCCCCTAGATTAAGAAAGCTTTCTATGGTAAGGTTTGTGGCCATAGGTACTCAAGAGTTTCTTTAGGGTTTGATTGCTAAAACAAAAAAATTTAAGGGCTAATTTACCATTTCCCCATGCATCTAACTGGTTTCTTTGCATGTATTTTGGATATGGGCTCAAATTAAATAGGGGAACCATCAGAAACATTATCTATGGGCCCATTAAGAGCAGAAGGACACCGGGCATTCGGGTTCAAATTTGAAAATTTTCAGTTTTCAGCCTACGAGACCATCAGTTGACTTCTGGGTAACTGAACCGTAGGCCAGAGAGTGACCTACTGCTTTTCTCTGTTTAGAAGTGTCTATAGGGTTATATATATAGATTGGAGTTGGCTCACACAATTAAGGAGTTATTTATAATATGTTGTAAATGTGGCTTTGAATTCCTCTAACATTATTTGAGTGTAAATAATATTCATAATTAAGTTACATTAGTTACTTTTAAAGATGGAATTTTACTTTTTGTATATATATTTTTAATAAAAAAATTAATAAGACTATTAGAAGATAAATGGGGTAGGGGAATCTCAAATTTTGAATTCAAGATTTCGGTATCATCATGTCTTAAGAAAGAACGGTAGTTGAAAAACGCCTGCAAAGCAACTAGTTAAATTATTGGCATAAGGCACTTCTTCACACACGTATGGCTATGGTTCAACCCTCATTTTCTCTCCCCACCCCTCTTCTTTGTGAGGGTTTTAACTAGTTGGCCTATCCCATAAAAAGAAAGAGAGAGAAAAAAAAAAAAGAGTAGCAGTTTGGACACAAACATATGTCATTGGTGATTAATCTTTCTCATGTGCATATATAAATTCTAAGACTTGAGCATCTTTCTCATGTGGGTCAAAATCTATATATCTCTATTCTTGTTAGGTCTTAATTATTAGTTACTTTCACAAGATATCTATCACATGTTGCTTTCCAACACAAAGCTAGCATAAACAAAACATGTTTCAAACAACTCAAATCATCAACTTCCTAAAATTATTCATTATCATTCTTACAACATTTTCAGTTGTAAAGTTTGATTCTTATTGGTCAGCTTGATCACAATGATAAGATGTACCAACAAAAAGGAAATGAAGATGCATATTGGCAATGGAGTTAACTGAGTTGTAGAAGGTATTCAGAGATATAATTTTCAAGTATGATGTCAGTAAAGAACGTATAAATTGTTTTACATGATCCCTTTAAGTTGAATGAACAAATTACTAAGAATTACTAAGAATTCCTAAGATGCTAAAACACCTATACAATAATGAGCCACTTTTAGTTTCTTGATTTCTTCTAACCAGGGATTGATGTCTGATTTACCTCAGTCGTTCCAGACAACAAAATCAGTTAATGCAATGTATATATATGTCCCACTAATGATGAGATCATGATCATATATGTGTGTACTTTATTTCATCTATCTATACTACATGCATCTGAAGTGCTTGAAAACATAACTCTGCATCTAAACTAATCTCTTGACAGATGCCTATTATGCATGAATGCAAGGTATGCAGTTTTGAAAGGTTACAGAAAGCCATCTTTATGTCCGTGTATCATTTCATTTGCATCATCTAGCTGTTGGAGAAAGACTAGATATGTATTCAGAGGCCCAGGCATTATATATGCAACACAAACATATCCAAGTTTCTTTGAATTGAAAATTAAAATTACTCACTTCTAGTTATTTTGCAATATTGAACAGAAAAGAACTCACAGTATGGTGGTTGGGAAATAAGCATCTTCAAATAACAACTTCAGCCATTGGATGCATGCATTCAAATTTCAGTAAGTAGAAAAACACCAATTTTGGACTTCAATATATATAGATCTTTTGTATGAGTATAGTAAAAACTGATATCTTATATAGGAAACCTGTCAATCAAATAAAACACTGAACAGTAAGATTAATTAAGTTATGTTTTTGATATGCCAAGTGGAATGCCAATCAAATATAATGAATGCATGCTACATGTATAAACTCCAGTTCTATATATCCCTGGAGTAAACATTTTGATATCTGGGAATATCCCAGTGTCTAGAACTTCTTTAATTAGCCCTGTACTTACACATGATAGTATTAGAACTATATATGCACACTCTTTAAAGGAAGGATTGTTGATGAGTTGAACAGTTTCTACTGTTGCAGATCTAATTTTCTGTAGAATAAATATTCCTTTGATTTAGTTTGATTTTAACATCCTTTTTTTTTTCTTTTGACAATTGATGAATTAAATAAACATCATTGCCTTTTTGTCACTCATAGGAAATATATACACAAGTAATACACCTGATTATATAGAAACAACACTCTCCCTGAGGATAACCCTCTCAAAATTTTAAAGAGAAACAAAAGAACTCTTCCAAAAACCCATACCAATAAGATGACGATAAGCAGGAAAGTAGACTATGAAAATAAAATAAAATAAAACCTAAAACCATCTAATGGTATGTGCGTGGCTCTTAATTTGTCATGATCTGAGATAATCTTCATATATAACCATATATCAATAATTAACAGACATGAAACAGAAGCTTTATGTCATTAAAAAACTTATTTTCATTATAAATTCAACTGCATAATGTAGCAATTCAGAAATACAAATCGGTAAAGCAGATTCATTATAATATAAAGTAAATATATATTTTAATTTTCTTTTACAAAATTCAAAGGAAAAACAAATTAACACATACATATAGCTTACTTTTTCTCTCTCTCTCTATATATATATATGCTGCATCATGAAGGGTAGAGACATAGAGAGGTGGCTGTTGGACAAGCCCCTCAGGGGTTGCCACTGACTTGAAGTCCTGAAATGAGGCAACAAATGAATTAGTCTGAGGAGAGATGAACAAAACATCAGGAGAAGATCTTAACTATACTTCTTAAATGGCATTTACCTGTAGCTACAGATACAAATTAGTTACAGCAGAAATGGTAGAATGTCCTACTTCACCATTGATGTTCCAATTATTAGGAAAATCAGGAAAGTAGGGATTTTGGTGATAACCCGAAATTGCAGTTGGCATCTTCCTTTTCTGAACAAAGTCCAGTTCCCTTTGTGCCAGGTTAGAGCCAAGTTCTTCAACTTCTTGAGGCAGAATGTTATGGCTCTTGAACTGGTTCAAGATTTCAGGGCTTGTTTCAGGAAATGTTTTCAAGTCATGAATCCCCGGGGTAAACATCTTCTCTCTAGCCCTTTCCCTTGCCCTTGCTCTGGCCTTCTCCCTTGACTCTTTAGCAGGAAGATGGATGGTTGAAGCTTTCTGCGACTTTTTCATCTTCTTCTCGTTAAAAACACCCAGAAGGGCCTCGCTTCTTGAAACAGCACGCCCTAGTTCACCACCTTCAGACGCCACTTCACACTCAGAAGTGAAAGAACTAGCATTACGGATACCTTTCATCTTTGCCAGCTCCTTAATGGCACTTTTTGACTTGGTGAGTAGCCACCCTAGGGTTTTGCTTGCTTTGTCGAACCCTAACATGTCCTGGAGATCAAAGAACTCGCGGGCTATTTCTATGGACAGTCTCACCCTCCGATCTCTCACCCCTTGAGCCGTACAAATCTTGCTGTGCCGGTCTTTCTTCGCAGGCTTCTTCTGGGGAAGAAAACCAGATCCATCAAGAAAACCTCCATTCAGGGTGTGAATAACATCCACCTTTTTTGTCATTGTGGGATTATTTAAAATTGGCATGCCAATTAAATACTCAGTTATCTGAGGATTATCAGGTACCAATATTGCTCTGGAGAGCAGATCATGATGGAGGTGAAGGAGTACGTCACCAGAATCCTGAGATGTGAGAGTAGGAAGAGATGGGTAAGAGGAAGAAGGAAGGTGAGCAAAAGGGCTGATGTTGGTGGTGGAAGAGAACATTTGTAGGCTGTAGTAGCAATATGCAAAACAAGAAACCCTAGCTTTCTAGATGTGAAGGGAACTGCTATACTGGGTTGGTTTTTTGACATTCAAAGAGCTCAACCCATCTACCCGTTTTATGTTTTTTCCAGACTCCCCTCATCTCTGAAAGCAATGAGCTACAGCTAGAGCTTGAGAACAAAACCCAGTACAGACAGAGGGAAAGAGGCGAGAAGAGAGAGTTTTCTAGGGTAAAACCCATAAAATAGTACGCATTTACTGACAAAAAACATGGGGTTTGCACAGTTAGCAAAAACACTTTCTCTTTTAACTATTGGGGCCATAAACCCTGCTACCTTGAGTGGTGCCCCTTAAGACGATATGTGATGGAAATCTCCTCAACTTTTAACCCCGTTAATCGGTGAAGGGATATTCTTCCAAAAAAAATTAGACAAGGGATAGATTGGAGTTGCTGGGGCTAGGGCAAGAGGTAAATACAGTAAATTTGGGATAGATTGGAGTTGCTAGGGCTAGGGCAACAGGTAAATACAGTAAATTGAATTAATTTATGGGCAGAAGTGCCCTAATGAGGGTTATTGAGATTCCTTTTTTTTTTTTTTTTGGAAGATAGGCAATGAGAGGATTATAATTAAGATTCAAGAAGAGACTAAATCGAGGAAATCAACGTTTGCTTTCGCCAAATCCGTACGTTAGCTTTACAATTTACTTGGCGTCGAACGTGCATGGAAAAAAAGGTTGTGAAAGCTACACACCCTACCCTGCCTCATACCGCTGATCTTCAATAGTCACTACAAGACAACTTCATCATCTATCTTTCCTTGACCATACCTTTTTCAGTGTCAGTCTTGGATATATAAATTATTAATCTTTATTTTATTTAACAGTTATCTTTCCTTCAATAGTATAGGGTACAATAATGAGAATTTAAAACATATAGTTTGAGATGTAGTTCCTAACCCTATTATTTGTTGCTTTCTGTCTCAGAAATCTGAGAAGTACTGTGCTCCCTGTATGGGTACTATCAATTACCATACATTTGAAAAATAATAAATCAAATGTGTCTTTCTCTCATTGTAAATATTCCATAGAAACATTCATGCAAAGGTTTGGCCATATAATTTAGCGTCCATGTTTCCTGGTGATTTTGCTAGATCATGCCTGCAGAGTTGAAGGAAAGGGTAGATCCATCTCTGGTATTGTTAGACAAGATATAAATTTTTTTTCGATTTTATTGTTAGACAAGATATTGAATGTACTGGAAAAGGTGCAAGGATATTAAATGCTTTCATAAACAGTTTTGCATGTCTTGAATTAAAGTAGATGATAATCACATCTTTCTTTTGCAAAAAAAAGTCATAGAAAGCAACAGCTCTTAGGCTTTGAATGCATTTGTTATATTTGAAATGGTTAACTGAGCGCATACTGCCGGCTATTCCCAAATTATACCTTTCAGTTCTGGCGTCCCTCTACTAATTAAGAATCTTTGAGAGGGGATATGATTGTAAGGACCATATGCATTTCATCATCTTTTCCATCATTTTCATTAATTTGTAGTATGTTGTTAGTTTTTACACAATTATATTCTGTGAGATAAGAGACAAACGCCATACAATAAGAAGAAAAATTTTGCATCCATCAAACCAATGTTGCAACCATACAAAACACCCATGATTTGTAAATGACATCAATTTTTCGAAGCTGTCTTATGAAGCATCATGGAATAGATGATGTTCTGCTGAGAACCACACATACATAGTGGATTCCTAGCTATATGTTGGTATTATCTTTCACAAACTTCTGTCACACCAAAAGTTAAATTCGTGAATAATAATGATTTAGTGGATTGAATTCATTAATTGCATCAACTGGCCTATATGTAGCTAGACTAGACTATCATTGTTAAAGGGGGATGCTTCGATGTTCAATCCATTACATACAATAATTAATCTTTCCATCTTTATATCTCACATGATTTGATGTTATATGATTAAGTGAAATGTTGGTATTTTTATGCATGTAGACATGAACTTACAGGTGGATTAATCATCATGGAATTACATTGCAAGCATTGTTGCGATTCTAAAATGCTCTGTTTGGTTGATGGAATTACATTACAATTTACAAAACAATTCTGTAATGTTGAAATTTTCATGCATATATAGACATGAACTTAGCTGGGTTATTCATCATGGAATTACATTGCAAGCATTGTCGCTATTCTAAAATGCTCTGTTTAGTTCACAGAATTATATTGAATAATGATTGGTACACCATCCAAATTAATAAACCTACCAACATTTATCAATTCAGTCATTTAATTTTACAAGTAAAATTTTTCTGCTTTGAATTCAAATTTGAAAATAATAATTTCTTAAATAGTGTGTTGTAAAATGTGTTGAATTAAATGGTAAATAAATTATTGTCCAATTTTACATTACAATTTACAAAACAATTCTGTAATATTGAAATTTTTATGCATATATATAGACATGAACTTACAGATGGATTATTCATCATGGAATTACATTGCAAGCATTGTCGAGATTCTAAAATGCTCTGTTTTGTCGATGGAATTATATTACAATTCATTTACAAAGCATTTTCTGTAATGTTGAAATTTGCAAAATAACTTCTTTCACTTCATTGAGAAGTAAAAGATGTTTCCTCACACTAGTATTTTCTTTTAGATAAAATACCAAAATGGTCCTTTCTGTTCCTAAAATTTTAAAAATACTAAAATAGTCCTTAAACATATTTTCCCAATTTTATTTTGGTCCTTTTTTCAATGGAAAATTGTCATGAAACTTTTTTTCTTAACAAATTCATCCTTTTTAAGTTCCAAATATCAGTTAAAATTTTGAATTTAAGATTTTTGTCTATGTGGATATATTTTTAAAGAGATTTTATAACTTGTGTTTTAAGAATACAAGTTAAGAGTTGTGAAAAAATAAATATTGACATTTAATTTATCATTCCTCCTCCAATTAAACTTATCCAAGTAGTAATAACTCTAAACTTAATGTCAACTTTTATATATATTTTTTATACATATTTATGATAAAAAGACACTCTTAAAGCACAAGTTAAAAAAATCCATTTTTAAAAACAATTTTCACACTTCTGAAAGCTCAGGGACCATTTTGGTCTTTTGACTATTCGATGGGCCCAAAAGATAAAAAAAAACAGTACCCTTCAGCATAAACGCATAATGTTATGGGCCTGGACCAGGGCCCGGGTCCTACCTTTTAATTAGAAAAGAATCAGACTGATCTGCGGCCACGCGGGCCTTAAGGATGAGGTTCCGCACTTCTGCACGTGGGCAATTGGGCAACATTAGGCTGCCTTTTTTGAGCATCCCATGGGAGGGCCAACCTTTAATTGGTTTTAGCCTCCAATTTTTATTTTTTTTTAAAAAAAAAAATTTGGGCAACGGTAAAACCCCAATTTAAATTACCATGTTTTTCACTCGACAATGGCATAATTACCCATGTTAGGGTTTGATCGTTACAGATGAGCTGGCAGCTCTTAATTGGTACAATCCCTAATCGAGTTTCCACAAGATCTTTAAAATCCATAATAGTTGCCAACCATTCGAGTTTGATAGTTACAAATGATCATTATAGTCGCTAATAAAATGTTTTAAACAGTTAAAATTTTGAGATTTTAAATTAAAAATTTTATATTTAAATATTTAAATGACAGAGATTAAAAAAAGAAAATGATTCTCTATTATTATACAATTCATCATTTAATATAAAAGAAAAAATAAAACAAATGATCATTACCAGTTATTTATATAGAAATTAAAGAATTAACGAAGAATTGTCCTTTCTCTCCAACTTTGTTAATAAATCAAATTAAGTCAATCATTTCTTTTTTTTTTTAATCGACCAAGAAATTTTAATATTTTAGTTATTTCTATTTAGGGAATCACGCCCAACTGAACAATATATTCAAACACAACTCAAAATAAATCACTCTAATTTATAATTACTACAACATGCATTGCAAAATTTTTGCATGCACATCACATGGGGTTCTTCTTTTATGAATGATTATATATATTGTAAAGTTTGTTGAATTGGAACCAAAGTTTTGACCTTTTGTTTGAAATTTTAAATGAGCTATCCACAAAGAGAGGGAACACAAGACATAAAATTAATAGATTAATTTGAGCCATGAAGTTCATGGTTGAAAGCAATGCTGATGGGTTAGAGGTTTAAGTATGCATGTTCTAAGGCAACATGTGACTCTGTCTACCTTAATCATGTCTAACCATTAAAACAACATTTACATTCATCAGCCCCGGTCTCAAGCTAGCCAAAGCCAGTGATCTCCAATCTCCATTCAATAAGTTGCTTTATTTTTTTAATCATCAAGTTATTAATTTATTATTCTTTTATAGAATATGTCGAGGGATTTAATTAATTTATTAAAAAAAATGAAAAATGTGCTACATAAATTCAAACATTTAACAACGAGAGAAAAATCCTTTTACATTTAGATATTTAGTCTAACTAACATGAAGACTTCTTCTATTGTGCTATTAATTTAATGCAAAACACTATATATATGCCTTTTGTTTTGGGACACAACACATCAACAAGAGTCATTAATTAAGTTTTAATTTTACTTAATTTAGTAGCACAACTATTTGCACAAGTGCGTTTAGTCTAGTTGGAAAGGAAGCGGGCGCGTGAGACTGCATAGTGAAAGGAAAAAGTGCAGAAAATTTGTGATGATAAAAAAAGTGAACCAATTTTTTTTTTTTTATAAGGACAATGGTTAGAAATTAGTATGTTAGAGGTGTTAATGAGGATATTGAATCTGAGACTAAAGAGTACTCACTACAAATTACCCTTTAAAACAATAAGTGGTAACTAAATCACGACACATGTAATGTAGAGAAAGAACCAATTCTATCCGTTGTAAAGAAGGCAAAAAGGCTTTATCAAAAAAATTTAAAAAAAAAAAGGCAAAAAGGAAAGATGAAAACTGTCATGTCATGTGGAACAAAAGCCACATGGGATCTCACCAATACTTGTACAAAATTGCATTTCATTCGGTAGTTAAGAGCTGACAACATCCATATAATTCCAACTGCAATACAGGACTCCTTACGAATGCTAAACTTTTGATCGATAGTGCCATAATTGATTTGCTGAGTGCACCTTATTTTAAAAAAAGAAAAAA